GTGTAACACTTGATAGGAAACATCTGCTTTAATATGTTCCAACATCAACAGGATCGTGGCAGTATGTCTGCAGATTTCAATTCTCTGCCAATATGTACTCTCAGGTTAATGTTCTTTTTCTTGTGGAGAATGCGAAGCTGCGTACCCTGGTCAACAAACAATTCTTTTTTCATATCCTTGTATTCTGCTTTATCTGATGTTTGCCCAACGGGAAAGGAAGTGAGATATTGAGATGTTAGTTAATGGCCTACAAAATGAGAATCACAAGGGTGAGTAAAAATTGTTTCTGTAGGAATTATGAAGTGGGGTGGGTGTGGAAAATTGCAGCCAAGTTGGTAGTGGAGGAGAGGGTTAAGAGAATATTGCTGTGGCTAGCATTATCTGATACCTTGTTTCTACAGGTGCTCTGATTATACTTGCCCTGAGCAAAGCTAAGCACCTTACCATGCAGCACCCTGCCACTTTACATCTGGTACCCCATCTTTTAGTGCAACTTTGACACATTAGTGTTCTGTCTGCTCATTGTCCATTTACTATCTGGTCAGCTAGAGGCAGTCTTTAAGGGGACCTGCAGTGACCGTGACTCTCCTGACTTGTTTAAAGAAATGTCTTCATGCAGTGAAGGGCAGAGATGTGATGAGCTCTAAACAAGCTGTCTTGCATGCAGGAAGGAGGCTGACCCTGGCAGCAAGAAACTCTTAAATTCACAGTGCTGATTTAGAGTCGGGTCTGTTTTGTCTGAAGCACAGCAGGAAGCTTGGCTTAAATGGCTCTGTATGCTTGTTTCTTCAGGATAGGAGCCTCAAACATTATAAGCAGCAATGAATGACGCAAAGACAGGATGGAAAATACTACTTCAGCTAACTGTCTTCTTATAATAATTTTGCCCAGCTACCTGGCAAAGTTTGCCTGGTTATGACAAAGGCTGGATTTCTGCTTACTTATTACTATCAGGTGGGTTGCTCTCTCTTAGTGCTTAGAGAGGAGCAACACCGCTTCAAGAGTTTTTGGCTCCTTGTGAGAATTAAGAAACAAAAAAGAGTTGGCTCTTTGCTCAAGAAGAGGTCCCCTCTTCATTCTCAGCTTAGGTCAGTTTGGTTTGGTCTCGCACTCGTACCTGAAAGCACTAGACAAGCAA